CCCCCCCCCCAAATCATCGGTGAACGAAACTGCGACAGCTACAACCACTGTACGACGAGTACGCGGTTATTGCAGCTGATGATGATGAAGTTGAGAAGTGTGGTTTGAGCCTTGATGTAGCTCAGTGGTCCAGGCGCAAAATTACTGAGGGTCTGTGTTTCAAACCCAACCTCGGCATCCCGATTACTCTTCTCGAAGCTTGGGTAAGCTGGCAAGTCCTCAGCCTTTGTGGTTGCTTCAGGTGTCACGGCATGCTGCGAGTATGCTGACGAATGGGTGAAAACACTAATTTCGAAGATGTGCGGTACGAAATAGGCAAAAAAAATTGGTTCAAACCGCAATAAACTTCCTTTGCAGACTACGATTCCAGCACCTCAAATGGTGGTACCTTGTCCGGATGTTGGAAAAAAAATCCATTTCAGATCATGAACTTACCAAGGCGAGACATTCATCGGACACTAGTAAACATTCCATGTTTAATAATACTTTTCGTAGAGAGTTGATACCCTTCTGTTTTGGTTGAGGGGAATTGGTTCACAAGTTAGTGAAGAACCTTAATACATCTAATCGGTTGTTACTAGAATCCTCAGTTGTCAGCAAAACTGACGTAATAGTGAGGTTCAGCGATATAATCTGTTGTTCCACTCGAAATGAATGTTCGCTGGAGGGCAAATCTAGGCCCATAAGCTGCCGTCTGACTGTCAATAAAGTTGATTTTGCGTTTCTGCTTACAGTTGTAAACATTCGAATGTGGGTTTATCATCTAACTGGTGAGCGTGTGGAGAGTGGTTCTACATCTCCCGTAGCTAGATGCAGTTTTCTGTCGTTAAATATCCCAAGCCGACCAGGTAATTTTACATCCTCCCCTGAGCAATATTGTCGGAGAGCTTAGAAACTCACACTGAGCAATAAATTTTACGCTGGATTACTGGTGTTTCGGACGTGTTCGCTCTCGAATTCGTTGGTTTTGAGCGCTGTAGTTGCATGTCGAAGCGAATCGATTCATTGATTTGTCGACAACATAGCGGATGCAGCGACGCCGCACATCAAACAAGACGTCGTTCGTCTCTCGGGATTTCAGACGCATTATTCGTCGTTATCTTCCATGTCCTTAGAAGGGGACATGCCGTTCAAACAGTGTTGTGCTTGTAGTCTTGACATGGCCCCCTTGCTGTGTCTGTGGATCGACGTCTCGAAGCCCCTCCGTTATGTTTTGCTGGGTTGTGTATGTCTAACAGGAAGTATATAGGTGTCACTTTGACTTCCTTTGCAACAAGACGCCTGAATTTGCGTACTCTGTTTTCACGAGTTCACGATTAACTCTCCAAAATCCTCCAAGTACACAATGTTAGCTGTCGAAAATGTCCATCCTCCCCATATTCTTTCTACTGTTGACAAAATAGCTGACCTGACGCTGAAGTATTACTGAACTTTTAGATCTTCAGCTTCTAGTTTGTGAATATCTCGGCTGAGTATACAAGCAGAGTAACTTTCCCTCATGAAAACCGATGTCATTACCAACGTAGATCATTCTTTTCCTAGTGCGAACCCTTCGGACATGTCTTGCATATAATCTTACATCCCTGAGGTCCGATGGAGCTTGTCTGTTGCAGTCAGTACACGAAGATCATGTAGCGCTTGCCGAATCGCACCCTTTGTGGCATACACCATCGATCTCAAGGGTCACATGCACCATGCTGAAGTATAGCTGTCAGATCCGGTCTCTGTGACGCAGTACCTGAGGCATATTCAAGTCTTCCCCCAGTGACTTCTTTGACAATAAATTGTATAGGCTGGGGCCAATGAATGAGATAATCAGAACACGGCTGTCTGAATGTGTGATTCAGTTGTGAAGTACATTCAGCATCATAACGTGTGATGGGTGAGACACGGACTTCACGAATGTGGAATCACTGTCTGCCCAGGCGAGTGCTTCTTGATATTGTGTGGCTTGGCAAATGGATATGAAGAATACCACTGAGGGTATTAGTGCACAGGTGGCGATAGCCATAATACAAATCAGAAGGTGAATGTGCACTAATAGAAGTTTTTAACATGGTTGCGACACGTATAAAAATGAATACAATGCGAAATGGGAGCAAGTCAATAAAGGAACTTATCGTATGTGAGAGTCCCTTGGTGAAAGTCCGGACGGTGGGAACGTGTTTTCTCCGCAGTTTGGCTGCTACACATGTTCCATGATTGTCCGTGGACTTGTGGAGGGGTTGACGTCCTGCTCCCTGCGCGCGCGCGAGTCTGTGCGTGTTGACTGTGTTGTCGCTTCCTATATATAGGAAAGTTTGATGTGTGTATAAAATATGAATCGTTCCGTGCGTACTAAACAGGAACTGACTTGTAGTCGGTCAAGGTTGCGGGTGGAACGGCGTTTGTCACGTGACTTGTGTGCTTGTGTAGCAGGTAAGTCGTGGGATCTAGTAAACACCCATGTACTGGACAAATTAAGTGAAGTTGGTTGAGGGGACATGGAAATGTCCGCTACACGGGTTTGGATGCTGTACGTATTTATCTGCGAACCGGGATGGGATCCACCCTGCATCCGTGTTCATCTAAGGACGCTGTGAGTTATGACCATCAACCGAGAATGGCCTCCATTCCCTCAGTTTTGATCAATAATATCTGGTGTATTGTTCATTGTGGAAACAAGCGTTCAGCTGTAGCACCCTTCCGGTGCCTAGCTGCCATGCCACCCGGAGGAAGCACGAGGGTTAGGATACTGCCAGGTTGCCCAAGCCTAGACAGGGGAAGTCGAGTGGCGGAGGTCGGATTCGAACCACGAACCTTCCGGTCAGTAAATTCGCGCTCTAACCGCTTGAGCCATCTCGCCCCATGGTTCATTGTGGACTATCGTGAAGTACCTTTCCAACCCCGTTTTTCTTCCCGACCTATCACCCGTTGAAACAAATCTTCCATGCTGGAACAACATTGAATCGCTGGTATCAGTACTTTGTACAATGTAAACGTTTTGTGAAAACTCGACTTAATATAAAAAAATTGTTTTTTTTTCACGGATACTAATTGTCATACTTTAGTGCATTACTTTCCCACGGGTCTTACACCTGCCATTTTTCTCAACGTCATCTCTGTGGTTACATTTCTGCCTAATCGTCTTCCGCTTTTTTGAGTCTTGGAGATGACAAATTCCTCCTCATATCGATCACATAGCACATGCCAAGGACGCTGTATTCCAAAATCTGCATATTAGTGAAACGAATGTTTGATTGGCACCGTAGCTAGGTCGAAGTTCATAGTGGTCGTGAAGTTACATTTTAGCTAGTATTTACTGCCGGAGACCTTTCCAAGTCACTGAAAAGTCGCAGTTGCGAAATCTATTAGGAGTACGCTATTGTCTGGTAATTGACTGCAATCAGTCAGTCAGTCAGTTAATCAACCGTTCAACTGTAGCATCCTTTGATGCTACCCGAAGGAATCCCGAGGTACTGCTATATTGCCCAAGTCTAGAAAGGCGCAGTCAATTTGCCGGGGTTGGGTTCGAACCACGGATGTTCCGGTCAGTAAGTTCGCGCCTTAACCACTCAACTATCTCGAGCCTTGGGTTGCAATGGCCCGGTAAGTAGTAGTGTTACGTAGTATTGCTTGTTCGGATGGGTTCGTCATTTGCTGGGATGTTCGTCACGATGCCCAATCGGTTCACAGATGTTCCCATACCGTTTGAGGAGACATGATCAGCGCGCACTGATTCAATAATCATCCCTTGTATTCTTCTAACTTGGTCTTATGGAAGAAGACAGGGGTGCTCAATACTGGTTAGTGAGCTACCTTTTTCGCTTGAGGACGCTAACTGAACAGTGGCGGCTCTGACTGTACTGAAAATACTCAAACCACTCAGCATCACTAGGTACGGTAGCCGAGTTCGATGTACCTCAGTGATTAAAGACTGGAAGGTCCGTATTCCAAATCATATCCTTGATTTCCGATTGTTGTCTAGGTCTGAGCTGACTTGCAGTAGCTGAGTCCTTGTGTTTCCCTCGAGTTCCACGGCAGCTATTCATTAAAAGGCTGAAAGATTATTGTTATTACTAATATTTATGTTATTATTAATTCTGTACAGTAATCCTTGTGTCTAGCGATAAAGACTACTTCCCTAACACGCTCGTGTATAGGTGCACGGCTTCTGCAAGTATCAGACTATTCGCTGTCTGTAGTATACCCATCTAACTGATGCCATCGAATGTGCCTCACAGAGGGAGCTCTTCATATGAAGATTAGTGTTTGCTTAAATATGGAACGATGTCGTCATCATGGACACCAACACGACCGTTAGTGAACGCTGGCGCTTTACTGCCATTCAACCGTAAGGAAGAGACGCGATAGTGGAGAGAGGAGAAGTGTGCGGACTATCTTTAGAGACGTCTATCGAGAATAGGGTGGCACCACGTGACCGGGAAGTTCTGACAGGCGGCTTGATTTGTCGATACGGCTAGGACGGTTACGGATTCATCGTCGGAGAAATTTGGCAGACGAGTCTCAACGTTCAAGCGCGAACCCTTTCGCACGTTCCCACATGACAGTTCGAATCCGTCAAGTGTGCGCTGATCGGATAGTGGTAACACGCTCACCTCATCTGTAGGATGTTCCGGGCTCGAAACCTGGTACGGCTAAGGGTATGTACTGCTGATAGGCTGTGATATGAGCTAAGCTCGAGTCCTCAGGGCTTTGCCTCTTCCGTATCAACTAACCACGGGAACTGCGTCAGGACTTTTCAAGACAGAACTATATGAACGGAGATCTGACACATCTCACAACCGCTTACAATTAGAGCGAGGTAACTAAATCAACGACTGTTGTTACCTTAGACGATTCTTTGTTTCTATGCTTAATAAATGTTTTCTTCACAACACGTGCTGTCTTGCTTACAGGTGGCCCAGCATCGACGACGCCGAGCCAAAGCGTTAATGGACTTCGAACGTCAAGAACCTGATGAACTTGGCTTCAGTAAAAATGATATTATCACAATTGTCAATTCCGACGACGAGCATTGCTGGGTTGGTGAACTGGAAGGTGTTCGTGGTTGGTTTCCTGCCAACTTTGTCGAGCTTCTGGATGAGCGTGGGAAAAACTACTCATCTGCCGGTGATGATGCGGTGAATCAGAACATTGCCAGTCTAGTTAGGGGAGGGTAAGTGGCATTTTGGGATCGTTATATCCTCACCCTTTTCGCGTATCCCGACTCTGACGTTGTTTCGATTCGTTCTCCTCTCAGCCTTTGTACTGCGTTGAGTGCCGTATTTACACACGGATTGAGGCGCCCACGGCTTCTTGGAGAATCAGGTTGTCATCCTTGGCATTTTATCGAAGAGGCTGCAGCCAAAGAAGTGGAACGTGACTTTGCCTCCGTCTACTCGCGACTGGTCCTATGTAAAACCTTCCGGCTGGATGAGGAAGGAAAAGTTCTGAGTCCAGAAGAAGTTCTTTATCGCGTACGTTCTCATTGTGTTCGCATCGCGATACCTTTCTTCTCATCGCGGTTATCTCATCAATCGCCCAAGTGGTTGTATTATCAGATGATCCCTGATAGATAGTATCCTTGTCAGACCGGTACAACAGGCATACCAACTATGGTCTGTTGTTAGGCAACGTTCCGTGTTTTGCATTCAATGTCATTTCATTGATGTGCCAAACTGGCTTAGTACAACACCATTTCTGCGGTTCTCTTATGGGACCGATCCAGCGCGACTCCGTCTGGCTTGTCCAATCACCCATCCGTCGGGCTGCAGATAGCGCACGATACCAGCATCCCAGTTGTAATCGTGTTGTATTTCTGTGGTGCACCCTATAAGCGCTATTCACTGAGTTACAGAATGCCGTATCCTTCTACGGTGATGGAAACATAGAGGAAAGTCCAACTGGTGAAGTAAACCGTACTATATAACACCGAGGCTATGATATTGAGTGTGTCCGCAATACGAAACTTGGTGTGAGAAGGATACGAAAAGGGGGTATTCTCACAGGTGAAACCTTAGGACACAACCGGCAACATGTGTACCACCGGTTAATTCCTTGTACCATATGGACAAAAGGCGATATGATCCCGTCGGTCCAATTCATGTTGTTAAGGCTTTTTAAATATTTCGGTGGCCATGGCATTTCTCGGCCTTCTGTTGGTTTTTCCAAGTCGACTGTGCGTCCGGCGAATACAGACCGTCGAGTTAGGCGGCTAGGAACGTTGGAAGAGTGCAATCCTACTTTCGAAATTTCTTTTGTGTGTGATGGGCACATTCACATGATGTTCCCTCCGTATACACACGCTTCTTCGCGGACATTGATGGCTTAAACCCACGGGGCGTCTTCGGTGGTGCCAGGTGGTTACCGTTCAACAAAGTTGCATGTAACAAGTAGCACCCTTTTGGTCTCATACGGACATCCTTGGGGCGCCAGACGTTTTAGTCTTCAACTGTTAGCCGCAAGTTCCAGGTGGTTGCCGTTCAACAAAGTTGCATGTAATAAGTAGCAGCCTTTTGGTCTCATACGGACATCCTTCGGGCGCCGGACGTTTTAGTCTTCAACTGTTAGCCGCAACATTATGCACTTAATTGCCCCTGATGATTCGTGATATGCGTACTGTTGATGAGTCCGAATAAGAATCAAATGGATGCAAAGTGTTCCTCGGCTTTTTGACACAGATTGGCTTCACCTACAGGATGAAGTTCCCAAATTTCAGCCATTTATAAGTAGCTCAGCAGCGAGAGTAATTCACGGGCTGCGTGAACTTTCCATTTGAGAAGAAATCATTCGAAAAGCCCGGGACCACGTGATGTGAACTCTGATTAAAAGATAAGTTGCGCTATGTTCTGTTTGAGTGCGAGTTAATCACACTGCTTTTCAACCACTAGCCGTTGGGTGGACTAATAACGAGAAGGTCCTGGGGTCAAATCTCCCTAGAGGTTCGTGAGACCAACTGTGATGATCCCCAATAAGGATGAAGCAGTTGTACAATGCTTCCCAGGCCTTCGGTATTGATTGACCTTACTTACAGGATTAAATATCCATTGAAGTGTTTTCTAAATCTGAGCGGGACAGCTGGTTTCTGCCTATCACGTGACTTACTTTGCACTTGGAATCGTGGAGCGCATTCCGAAGTGGTAAAATACAGAGCTTTGCTGTGACCTTGGGTGAAGTTAATCTGAATCCATCTGTGGGGTTTACTGTGCCTTTTCCAAATACCTGTGCACGAGTTTCAGGTCGGAGTTGGGTAGACGATTGTGTCCGCGGTATTTTTCATAGGTCGTCTTGTTTTCCGTAAAAACACTGTAACTCCATCCGCTGTTGTTATTCCCCGTGTGATTGCACTGTGAACCATGCTTTTTTTCTCGCAACTGTTCAGGCCATACACAGTATCAATATGTCACATGATCTGGCCCAAGCCCACATGGATGTGAAATTTCGTTCCCTCGTCTGCTATGGACTAAAGTGAGTTGACCTTCACTTCGATTTTTCTCCCGATGTCTGTGTCTTTGCCCTTTTGCAGCCAAAATAGTACACAGACATCTCTCGGGGAGACTCGCTGTTATCTGGATTCGTTCTTTAGACGAGATAGAGTGGTTGCCAGACTGTTTGCAAGACTAATTTTTCTGTACGAATTTTCTTCTGGTGAATTGAGTTATCTGGTTGGGACTTTCAAAGTTTGTGGTATCCCGTGACTGGAACACAGTTTCTTCTTCAAGCACAGATGCTATAAATTACGATATGGTGTGATCAGTTGGACGCTCTTATCGATCTCCTTAATTGTTTCGAATCTGTTGTCCCATGGAGTAACACACCTCATGGCCTATCTCCCCAGCCCTTTTTTCGAGCGAATTCCACCACGATTGACAGGAGGACACATGCAGTAGTGCCATACAACCATGAGCGAAGATTCTTCCAGTAAGAGTTAAAATTCGGGGGATCTAGGGGGGGATGTCGTGAAGAAAACCTGTCTTTAGAAAATGGTGGTTACATCACCCGATCTAGTTATTGAAGGCCAAACACTGGAACCGATTACCGCCGCTTCCGCTGGCAGTGTTGAGGACAAATTTAGTGCTAGAATGGTTAAAGCCGGTTCGAACGTTCTTCAGCTTGTTTCTTATGGTGAGGAATAGAGCGTACAATGCCGCAATGCGGGCACAACTTCCGCTGGCAGAGGACAAATTTAGTGCTAGAATGGTTAAAGCCGGTTCGAACGTTCTTCAGCTTGTTTCTTATGGTGAGGAATAGAGCGTAGCGTACCGCAATGCGGGCACAACTCTAGTCATTTCAAACTATCGACATCTATGGAACATTATATATATATATATATATATATATATATATATATATTTATCAAAAAAATGAAATATATCGTGTTATC